ATGCCCATCTTCCCTTGACAACTATTTTATATTCTGGCCAAAAAAAGCAGTGACTTCAATAGAAGGTTATTTTAAACACATAATAATAAAAACACAAAGAAGTAAAATTTCTTTTTAGCCTCCGTTTCATTTGTATAATCCTTTCACAGAAAATATCTACATTGAATAAAAGTTAATAGAGAGAAAAAAAGGAAGCATCTACATTACTTCAAGAATAGGAACATAAGCATACAGCAGACATTTAATTTTTGGATGACAGCCATTAGTTAACCAGTTTATAGATTTCCAGCCCTGACCTCAATCTTTATGAAGTAGGAAGTTGGGTTAAAGAGGCCACCTTAATTTCAAAATTCTACAAGCATTTTAATAAATTATGTCCTTTGAAGTTTATAAATATTGTCTTAATAACAAAACTAACAAAAAGGATGACTTATGAGAAAGGTCAGTCATAGGATATCATAAAAACCCAAGTTTTAAGATTGTAACCTCTGCCAACACGGCTGCAGAGTTTTGGATACAAAAGAGAATATGACTGCTCTGAAGTCAACACTCTAGTGATGAAAGCCTGTAAGGTGAATGAAAAGAACCCAACTGGGTTGGCCAGCACAATTCTAAGTGTGCACCCTGGTGCACACACATCTACCAGTTAGTTCAAACCTAACTGTGTTACTATGGAGTGTTGGGGGAATATATGATCACACAGTGAACCCCAAGTTAGTGTTTGTGCTAATAAATAAAATCAACCTTGGGTCAGGAGGTAGAGCCAGCAACTAGCTGTCAGAAAGTAATTACAGAGAGTCAGAGGGAGTCCAGAAAATGGGAGATGCAGAGGAAATAGGAGGGAGGACTTTGGTTTGGAGTGATGGAGGAGACACTCTCTTTCTGAGAAACCAGTGAAGAGGGAATGTTAGCTGGTTGCTCCTCAACCTCTCTGAGCTAGCAGGTTGTCACCCCAGCCTCTGACTCCTGAGTTTATTGGCAAATAGAACAACAGAGATTTAGTTAAAAACTACATTTGGTGGAGGCAGCAGCAGGAGTCGGATCCAGGGAGATGTAGAGGTCCCTCTAGGCTACTTCCTGAGAAGCAGGCTAGTAAGTGCGCAATTGTAGTTACTGGCTGAAACAGCTGCTGTGCCAGTGGAAAAACAACTGTGAAGGATTGTGGTTTTAGAACTAAATACTATGGAAGCATTAAGGTGTCTGAGCAAGTGTATGGTAAAGCAGTTATCTGTGGAGGCCCTGACTTGTAAAGTGGGCCCTGAGCAGGGACGGGCTCTTCTTGACAGAGAGTTTTTAGAGCATGAGAGGAATTCCAGATGAGGGGGACTCTCCAATTCCAGCTCTGAAGATAGAAGAAGCTATGTGACAAGGTCTACAGTTATCTTCTGGAAGCTGAAAGCGGCCTCCAGAGCAGAGCTAAACGGTGCTACAATCGTGTGGATTTGGAAGAGGGCCTTGATTTAGGGAGGAGAATGCAGCACGGCCTACACTCTCACTTTGGCTTCCTGAGAAGCTGAGCTGAGGTCTTGGCCACCCCATGTGCAGACCTCTGAAGTAGAGAACTCGAATCACTGGAACTTGTTTCATGCGGCTGAATGTGTGGTAATTTGCTACGAGGCATTAGGAAGAATGGTGCTGCACAGAGTATCACAGAGAACAAGGAGACAGAACGCTTCAGTGGCAGCTTTGCAGTCAAGCTCAGTGGTGATCATTCAACCTGTATTCTAAATAGGAGAGTGAGGCATTCAAAAAATAAAGCGAAGAAACATTTTAGAAAGATGGAATAACAATAAGGATAATTGGGAGATGTATAAAAAGGAAGAAAGTGGCTGCAATACTGTGGGTTCGGAGCTGTACAACAGTCTGGCCATCCGAGATGCTGAAGTATGGCCAAGGAAATTCATTTCCTTGGGTGGGTAGAGAAGCTGTGTAGGCAGGGATCCAGTGAAGATGGCAAGGGCGGAAATGAGCCAGCAAGTGTGTGAAAAATGGTCTGCAGAAATAAGGCTGGGTATGACCATACAACAGTGATTCTCAACCTGTGGGTTGTGACCCCTTCAGTAAACGTCTCTCTCTAAAAACATTTGCATTATGGTTCATAGCAGCAGCAAAACTACAGTTATAAAGTAGCAATGAAAATGATTTTAGGGCGGGGAGGGGGTGGTCATCACAATGTGAGGAGCTGTATTAAAGGGTCACAAAATTAGGAAGGTTGAGAACCACTGCCATAGAAGAACGCTGCTTGCTAGCTTGCTCACCTGCAGGCTCATGCTTAGCTGGTTTTCTGAACAGCCTGGAACCACCTGCTGAGGGCATGGTGTCACCCAGTTGACAATCCCCATAAACACACCCATGGGCCAGTCTGACCTGGGCATTCCTCCAATTGAGACTCCCTTGTCAGGTGACTTTGGGCTATATCAAGGTGACAGTTAAAGTTAATGAGTATATATTTGCTTTTTACTTTTTTTGCGTGTGTGTGAAGACATGAAGAGAAAGACACAAGAAGAAAATCGGTCACTGTTTTAGAATTTTCCAGATAGTGCTGTAAGAGGTAGATGACACTGTCCAGCAAAGAGGATGTACAGTTATGAAATGGCAAAGGTAGATAAAGTACACTGTGGCTGGGAAAGGACTGTAGACCAGCTAAACGAGCAAAGAAGAAAGGGGACACTAGAGCCCCACAAGCGTGCTCTATATTTTCCTTACTCTGCTCAGAATTCCATCCAGGGTCAAAAGCACAAACGTGGGCATCTCCACTGAACATATGGCAGAAACTCTGAGTGAGATGTAGAACAACTTAAAGACAATGAAAAGTGGTCACACATCACCAAAGTCACAAAGCTGATGACAGATGGAAGGATGAGGGCAGCTATAAATCTAAGGGAAGTTTGATGGTCCTGCTAAAGTTGCCCAGAAAAAGGTAGAAGAGTAAGATGAAGAGGGGAAAGAAGGTTCATTTTAAAACATACAACAGCAAGAATTTCCTTGTCTACTTAGAGTAGGGAAACATCTTATTTGAGGTGTTTACCCTCGTTAGGTTTTATTACAAAATTGATTATATTGTCCCTTAAAGTGTCAGTAGATTATACAAGTATCCACGCCCTAAAACTATCAAAATTATACATATCTCCACACATTTTATTTTCCTTTTACGTTTTGCTTTAAACTATGTGTGTTTGTGTCTGTGCACATAAATATAGTGCCTGGGGAGGCCAGAAGACGGTGTTGAATCCTCTGGAGCTGGAATTACAGGTGGCTGTGAGCTGCCTGACATATGTGCTAGGAACTGGAATCAAGTCCTCTCCAAGAACAGCAAGTGCTCTTAACGGCTGAGCCATCTCTCCAGGCCCTCCAAATAGTCTTAAAATGAAAAGGCACTCCGTGTTCCCCTCACTCTGCACTTTGCTGGTGGTGTGACAAGGCATTTGCAGATGCCCCTGGTATTTCTGTAAGGTAGTATTGAGTATGTGGGTTGAAGGATAGAAATTCTGAGCTGTACGTATATCTTAGTTTGTAAAGAAAACAAAACACTAAGCAAACTCTTGATGCTCCTGCCTTGGCAGGGAGGTTGTGGTTGGAGGGGCCATAGCCCATGGAATGTACAGTGGGGTTGGATGTGTTGCTAAGGCAATGGGCATCCTTTTAGCTTCAGGATGTCTTCTATGCAGTAACATAGCATTCTGCTGACGTTTTTAGTTATGGAAAAGGGGAGAAGAGGTTGGTGAGCTGGTATAAGAAGTGTCTGCATTTTTCTTTTAGTTAAGTGCAGTAGATTTTAAACTTTTTTAAAACAAACTAGAATTTGTCACTGTCAGAAAACTGCTGCATCAACGATATTCAAGCACATTCTGCCCTCAAAGATAATTTGCAACACTGTTATTTTTTGTAAGCTTAGAATTCAGAAAAGTTTTTGAAGGTAAACAAACTGTAAAGGGCAACTAAAGCCAGGCATGGTAGCACATGCCTTTAATTTTAGTACTCAGAAGGCAGAAGTAGGCAGATTTCTGGGGCTTCAAGGCCAGCCTGATCTACATAGTGAGTTCTGCCCGGGCTTAGGGATAATTCTATCCTCATCCCATATGGGATATTTAACATTTTTAAGCATATTCATGAAAAATAAAGGAATCATGGCAAGTTTGTGGGGATTAGTAATGATTTTTACATGACATGTAAAGAAGGCCCTTTGGGTGATTTTCTCCGTCCAACACTGTTCTTATTCCGAATAAAAACTGCTAAGCACTCCTGGGGTTATTGTTCCAGTATGAAATGTCAACTCTTAGTCCTGGGCTGGTGGATCCTACAGTAGGTAGACTGTCACTGGAGGAAGTATTGCACTGAGGCTGACCCTGGAGACTTACAGCTGGGCCCTGCTTCCTGTCCTGCTAGTGCTTCTTGCTCTTCTGGGACATGAAGAGTCCTAACTGCTCAACCTGTTCTCATGCCTTCCCCTCCACGATGAAAAGCATCTCCTTACACTGTATGCCACGTAAACGTTCCCCTCTCTGCCGCTTCTGTTAGGTATTTGGCCAAAGTGATGAGAAAAGTAACTAGGTAATAGACAGGCCGAAGATACACCCACCTCTACACACATCTTTAAACTTCAAAACCTGTGGAGCTCCAGGCAGTTTTGAGTTACAGACTCTACTGAACATGTTTGTCCAGTGATTTTTATCTTTTCAGAATTTTTACTACATACATTTTAAGGAGACATAAAATAAAGTCAGGTTTTGTCAAACATTATTCTTCAGTGTAGGAGGTCATTAACAATTAGTGCAACACTTTTCAACAAATTAAGTTTTAGAGCTGGGTGGTGGTGGCGGCTTGCATGCCTTTAATCCCAGCACTCAGGAGGCAGAGGCAGGAGGATCTCTGTGAGTTCAAGGCCAGCCCAGTCTACAGAGCAAGTTCCAGGATGGCTAGGGCTATTACACAGAGAAACACTGTCTTGAAAACAAAACAAACAACAACAACAACAAAAAAAAAAAAGTTTAGATACTTACTTCAAATTCTTTTACAAAGTAACGAATTTCCCCTTGGGTAACTGGTCTGTGATCCAGAAGCCTTGAATGAATCTCTCCAAGATCTAGAAAGATAAAATAGAATGGAAAATTAATTCATGTTGACTGATGCAATCTCTGGCCCATTTTACTCTGCCTTCTTCTCTAGAAGAGGTGAAGATGGGCTAAAATCCAGTTCAGACCATGGATCAGGAGGGAATCTCATCTACTTCCTGTGTGTGTTAATTGCTGGAACTACTTTTGAGAGGCTTTTAACAATATCTAGTAGAGTTGAAGACATATATCCTTAGCAATCCCATGCTAAGATATATAATCAAGGGGAAAAAAAACTTATATAAATGAACATGACATCTATCGATGTTTCCTGAGGCATGTGTACTACCAAAAGACTAATTAAAAGGAAAAGAGTCTACATGTCACAGAATGGAATATTGTAAACAGGGAGTAAAAAATGTACGTACCAAATCTACACCTATTGATAAGGATAAATCTCACATTTAAATTATGTAAATTTGTTTACATAAACTTTAAATATATGAAAAATGATACTTCCTCTGGTTGACATCAGAGAGAAGGTGATGAAAGCTAAGTTGAGCCAGGTGCACGCTGGGGCTTTTTAAGTACTGGGGACTGAACTTGAGGTCTTGTACATTTTTGGCCAGTGCCTCAGTTTCTCCAGTAGGACTGCTAGTGATTTTTCTGTGATGGTGGGTGGTGATTGTTGGTTTTAAGTATCTTCACCTTATAATAAATCTGAAAAAGCCATAGCTATGAAAGAAAAAATCCCAATTGTACCTGTTTGAGTAAGTCAATCTATTCATTCTTCTTACATCAACTAGTTTAAGATACAAACCTCAAAATACTTAGAGAAGTTAAATGGCAAAATAAAAATATGTATGTTCTATATTCATGTGCTGGTAATAGTTTCCCTGTATTTTTTATTTTTAAAGAGGTTCAGATTCCAGTTCTGTGTTTTATAAACTTTGTTAGGATATATCTTGTTAATACACTAAGTAGAAAAACCATAACCAAATTTTGTTTAAATATCTCAGTAGGTTATTACCCACGTCGCTTCTAAAAGAAGATATTTGGAGCTTTCTTTGATGAAGAAAGTTCCATGTTTAGTTAAGTCTGAGAAACATGATATGCAACAGAGTATGTAGAGTTCTTTATTGGGATCGTGGTGGAGCCACTGGTACACTAAAGAGTTATGACTGCGTGGCTGAGATGGAGAGAATGTAGGAGCTTACAGACCTTGTGCAGAGAATATAGTCTCAAGAGAGAGCATCTGTTTGCAGCCCAAGAGTCTTTGAAACACACTGGCTAACAGGATACATACAGTTTGGCTCCAAAAAGTCCATCTGTGGTTCTCCATTCTGAACCACCTGTAGTTTTCTAAACACACCCTGCTGCCTCAGGCATCCTGATGCAGCTCTCACAGAACCCTATACCCTAACTACTCATATCACCTCATGCCAATTTCCCTCTACAGTCGCTGAGTCCTCATTCTTCCCTGACACTGCCGTTCATGCTGACCAGCTTGCTCTCAGGTTTCAGAGACAGCCCACATGCTGTGTTCTTGAAGCACCAGGGACATCTACTTCCAGTATATCATGTACCACTAAAACCCCCAATCACCTCTTCCCTGGTGAGTTATCTCACAGAGCAAGCTGTTTGTGCTATTCACACAGCACACATGAGTTACCATCTCTTTCCACATGACTGAGAAGCAGTTAAGGTTTGCTGGTTTAGAGAAATCTGCTTCTGTAGCCTGATGATATAACAGTTTTACATAGAAGTAAATTAACAGTCACTTCTAAACCTCAATTGTGGAAAACTATGGGGGGAGGGAACATATCATAAAATTCACATTACCACAGTTGCTAGGTACTTACAATGCTACCTAGTGCCATTATAACAAAACAAATTCATTATACTAATTCAGTTTGTAAAAGTCCCAAATATTAAATATAAATTCTTCTAGTTTAATCATGTAGTGTAAAATACAGATTTCCATAGGAATCCAACTCTAACCAGACTATATGTGATCTGTTTTTGCTTTGGAGCCTGTCCTGGAACTCGCTCTGTAGACCAGGCTGGCTTTGAACTCAGAGAGATCCACCTGCCTCTACCTCCCCAGTGCTAGGACTAAAGGTATGTGCCATCAACACCTGGCTTATATGTGTTCTTTTTACTGTATGGTATATTTTTAAAAGTTAATGAAATATGTAATCTTTTCATCTCTACATGTTCATAACCTAATGTGAAAGTTAGATAAATATCTCCCCACAAAGACACAGAGAAGTGTTTTGATGTAAGATCACAAGGCTACAGCATAAGAAGAAAGGAAAGTGTAGCTCTCTCAGTACCCCATACAGGGAGGGCTGGATGTTTGGGTCCTGAATGTGAAAGTGAGACTCTGTCTCAAAATAAGAATACAGAAAAATCAGTAGGTGATGTAGCCTCTAGGGGTATAGTTCTTGTCTAGCATGTGGGAGGCCTTAGGTGATCTGCAGTCCAGTACAACTTCTGCCTCAAAAGACACAATCAACAGAATGAAAGACAATCTCCTGCTCAAGGGCACTAAGGATTTATACAGACCAGCACTGATGGTACAATGGCCAGCATAGCTGCCTTCCAACAATGTATGAGGAACTGTAAGTAAAGGACTTAAAAAAAGACATCAAGTACGCCAGAATAAGTACACTTATCACCAAACATTACAGGAAATGTGAATGAAAACCACAAGGGGCATCATCTCTCACCCATTCGAATGTCTACTACCAAAGACGGAAAATGACAAGTGATGGTAAGGATGGGAGAATAGAAAAGATGCAGCAAATATAGACTACGTCAATTCCTCAGAAAGGTTAAAGAATCATCATATGACCCAGAGTCCACTTTTGTAGCTATATCCCTAACTACTGAACACGGGGCCTCAAAAAGATGTTTGTGCATTCACGTTCACAGCTGCAATGTTTCCAACCATGAAAGAGTGGAGCCACCCAAATCCACTGGGGCACCGGGGCAAATTCACAGATGGAGTTTTGTCAGAGATGCGGTATGAGGAGTTACAGTTTAATACGTGCAAAGTTTTGCAAGATAAACATTTGTAGATGGAATGATGGTAGGCCAACAACAGTCATAAAAAGAATCAATTCTTCACTCCGATTGCACACAGAAATAATTCTCAGTCTTAATACCCATGCAATACTACCTGACTCCAAATTAAACTTATGAGACAACATGAAAAACAGTCACAGCCAGCTCTGCTGGGGCTGCCCACAGATAAGGTAAGAGTAAAGTGGAAACCCGCACCAATGTTAAGACACCATTTCCCGGGCTGCGCAGAACTGTAGCTGAAGTGGGTGAGATGGACGCGGTGAGCAGAGCGTTAAGGGAAGCAGCGGAAAAGGCAATGGGAGGTCTTTCCACGGGAAACAGGGACTTCTGAGGCTTAGGAGTTAAACCTAGTTGAGTTACTGTAATAATTTAGATCGAAGCCTTCTAAGGCTCAAAGGAGACGGGTGAGATCGGGGCACTGTATGGTGTTTCGGGACGTTTCCCCAAGTGTTGCCCTTTCTCCCTGGGCATGAGCCAGGCGCGGAGGGCAGAGGGGAAGCGAAGGACCCAAGTCACCCTACTATGTGACTGTGTGGGGCCCAAACTAGTTCCTATTTCCAACTTGAGCGCCCTTCGCCGGTGGCATTAGGGCTGGGAAGTGAGCTTGGGGCGGAGGCAGAGTCAGGCCAGGCGGCTGAGGGCGGCGGACCAGCCAGGCAGCACCGGGAGGGGCGGGGCCCCGCACGCTCCCCTACCCCGCACGGAAGACCACGCCCTCCACTCCGTACCCTTGATAATAAGGTGCGCCACGCCCGGCGTGCCTAGCGAGTCCCGCTTCTTGCCGCCGCCGCCCAGCGCGGCCTCGCACGCTACTGGGGTCTCCGTCCCTCCGCCACTCATCCCGGCCAGCTCCGCCCACCCGCAGACTCCGCTGCGCAGGCGCAAACCCGGAGGCTAGTGCGGGAGACGGGGCCGTTACGTCATCACAGGGCGTCGGAGTCGTTGGGTTCCGGAAAGGCGCTCTGAGTGTAGCTGCCGCCGCCATGCTGGATTAGGGCATGTGATCGGGATACAGAAAATTGATCTGAAAGTTAATTTGAAAATTAATCTGAATATAGAAAATTAATCAGAAAATTACAGCCATCTCTGTTATTCCTTCCTACGCCTGCAGGAACTCACTGTGGTTGGGGCAGGGGTGGAGTGCAGAAGTAGTAATATATACATATTTTCTACGTTGTTAATGGCCACCACTATTTTAAAAAGCATTTTGACATGAATTGTCACGTTGGGACCATTATAGCAACCTGGGGAGAAAGGTCATACTTTTTAACAAATGAAGCTACATGGTTAAAGGTTAAGTAACTCTTCTGTTTAGTTTGTTTTTTGAAATGGTGTCTCCCTGAAGTGTCTCCTACTTCAGCCTCCTGCTACCTGAGATTACAGCCCTATGCCACCACACATATCTGCTGTGGCTTTCCTATTTACAAAATTTCAATCATTTGTTATACAGAATAAAAGTATTTGTATCTATGAAAAGAATTGACTGATTGAATTGATGGAAAACGAAGAGAAAAGCATCTAGTTGCCACACACCAAATCCTGACATTTGATAAATTCCATAATGTTCATTTTTCTCAACAAATATTCATTCTTCACAAAGAGAAATTCACTGCCTTCCAGAGGTTTATATCTCCTGTTTATCCAGGGGTTCTTTCTGAGGTCCCAGCTGTGACCTCTCCCTTCCTCTGCTCCTCTTTTCTGGACAACGCTCGTCCTAAAGGATCTAAGTTAGTGCTGAAAGAGGAATGTAAAGCAACACAAACAACAGGATGGGAAATGCATTCCCAGAAGAGGCAAGGTTTGATGTCATGCCTGAAATGAGATGTGTGGGAACATGGAGAGGATGGCTAGGTGAAGCAGACATTTGGGGATTACTAGCATAAGAAATAATGAACCCAAAAGCAAGAACAAATACAAAATTTCATCTCCTAGCTTTTTATTCAGTATGTAGAAGGCATAACTCTTGAAGGCACTTATTCTCCCCACTTTAAAGAAGCTTCCTTATTCAATCCCCTTTTTCTGCACTGTAAAGATAATTTTCCTTTAATACTAGGTTGCTGAAAACCTCTGAAGACTCCCCATAGTATGCTTTTGGTGTAAGGAACATTAGATGTTTCTCTTACATTAATCTGGCTGTGTGGATTTCATCTTTGAAATTTACCAACTTTGTGTTATAAGTGATAAAGGAAATTCTAGTATCCATAGTTAACATTTTGGAAACAGACAGAATTGGGTTCAAATTCTTGCACTGCCACTTACTTTCAGGTTTCTTTACTGCTTAACTGTCATAAAGGTATCTATCTTTTGGGATGTTGAAATAATTAAGCTCATGCACCCCAGACTAGGAAACCAGCATAGGACTGACCCAGACCCCTGAATGTGGATGTTAGTTAGGAGTACTGGGCAGTCTATGGGGTCTCTAGTAATGGATCAGTATTTATCCCTAGTATGTGAATGGACTTTGGAAGCCCATCCCACATAGAGGGATATCTCTCAGCCTAGACACATAGGGGAGGGCCTAGGCCCTGCCCCCAAATAATATGATAGACTTTGAAGACTCTTGAAGACTCTCAATGGAAGACCTCACCCTCACTGAGGAGCAGAAAGGGGGTGGGCTGGGATAGGAGAGGATGGGAGGGTGAGGGAACTGGGATTGATAGGTACAACAACCTTATTTCAAATAAATAAAAAAAAAGTTCTATAAAACAAAAATGCCTAATGTTTTCTCTTCTGTAAACAAGCTTGGTTGCTCCAACTGAGCAGGATATGCTTGATCACATGCAGGCTGGAGGTAAATAAACAGGAAGTACTTCAGGATGTATACTTGCCCCTGATTGGACAAAAGTGGGAAGTACATATCCTTGTGGGTGTTGCCTTTATAAGCCTCTAAGTAATGTAATTTACTGCCATCTCTGGTATGAACCTGGCCAGTGTCTATCATCCTGGCCAATATTTAATAAAGCTTGCTTCAAATTTGGCTCAAAATTTGTGGTAGTGGTCTTCTTCTCACCCATGGGATTACCAGCACTGCCTGTCAGGAGATAGGTTTGTGTCCCTTCACGTGAATCTGGGCTAACCTTGTGACTTGCTTTGACCAGCAGAATATGCTGTAGTTACAAGTGGATCCAGGAGCCACAGCAGCTTTCTGCTTTCATTTTCTTGTCAGGACATTCAGGCTGTACTGATGTCCTGAAGCTATCATGTGTAGAAGCATGTTAGTTTAAACACATATAGACAGAGGCTGCAGGGTGAGAATCAAGACATACAAACAGTCCCAGTTTCATCCCAGAGGTGTGAGAGAGACTTTTCCAGCCAGTTAGCCAGCTAGTTGCAATCACTCACATGATCTGTGTGCACTGTCAGAAGAAACTGCCAGATCAACCCCTGTATTGTGTGTGGGGGAGTGGGGAGGGGGAATCTGCTATTTATACAATGTGTACATGGTGTGTGTGTGTGTGTGTGTGTGTGTGTGCGAGAGAGAGAGAGAGAAACAAGTTGACATTCTTGAGTAGTCAACAGAAGAGTCAAGGTCAAAGTAGTGGTCATGACTTGCTAGAAGATCTCAAGGTAGTAAGGCCAGTTAGTGAGGTAGGGGCAGGCAGGGAGATTTTCTTGCTTTGCCATTTCTCCACCATTTTCTTGTTAACCTTCCCTCCCCGAGATGTTATATTTGTTCCCTCTACCTGTTCACTTCACCAACTAAGTTATAAGTAAAGAATTTGGCTAGGCGCCTGGAGAGATGTCTCAGCAGTTGAGAGCAGTCCAGAGGGTCTGATTTCAATTCCCAGGGTGTCTCACAGCTGCCTGTAACTCCAGTCCCAGGGAAGCTGACACCCTCTTCTGCTCTCCTTGGGCACCAGACATGCATGTGGGACACAGAACCTCCATACAGTCAAGCACCCATAGACATAAATTTAAATTAAAAAAAATTGTCTGGTATCTCCTCCTCCTTTCTGGAAGGCGATCCCATAAATCACTGGAACTTTCCAAGTGACAGGAGTATCTTTTTTATTCATGGTGGTCCCAGGACCCATCTAAATTTATGCTAGTAAGGTGACTGAAAGTAGACTCATAGGTCAATTACATTTGAGCCACATTCTAAGGAGGGGGATTGAGTTCAGTCATGTGGGTAGGCATGACCACCTGTGACTTTCTGAAGATCTCTGGACACTGAAGCTTGGTGGACTTCTCATTTGGCAATCATACATCTACATGCCAAGATGAGATGCTTTTCCGAGGATGCCTGAGTTACATGTCTAGGACTAGTCCAAGTCTCCTTGTGACTCTTCTTTTGGCTGCTACTCCGGAGCAACTTTATAATCAAACTAAGTGTAAACAGAGCACATCCCTGAGCTATATAGTTATTTTAGCGAATTATCAAATTGGTAGGTGCCTTTGGAACCCTGGAGCTTGCGGCTCCAATCGAAGAAAATATAAGGAATTTGCGGGGGACTATGCTCCCCACCTCTGCAGCCTGTGCTAACTCTGGGTATTCACTATCAGAACTGTATCATCCCTGAGCAAACATTCACACAGCATATGCTACCTGCCAGGTACTGAGGTAAGTGCCCTAAAACTATGAATTCACTTCATCCTCTGGCACTCCTTTGAAACAGGTATCAGTTTTTTCACTTTACAAAGAGGCTAAATGCCTGTGTGACTTGTATGTCGCAGGAAGAACTACTTCAGAGATTGTCTTTGTATGTATTCGTGAGTGAGGGGTGGGTGGATAACGGGGAAGAGAAACTGGAAGAGGAAGAGAGAAAACACATTCACTTTGAGGCCATATAAACCCTTCATGTTTTTATCTAAAACAAAACAAACAAACAAACAACAACAACAATAACATAATAATTGAACACAGTGTTTAGAGCTGGAATAGAGTGGTGACCAAGGCTGACCCCTCTCACAGAGTACAGTCTACCAGTGGAGAAAACACCCAGTGAGAACTTCCTGCTTTCCTGCCATCCCAATCTGAGCCTCCTGATCAACCTGACCTGTGAGCATCAGGTCAGACTTTATCATGTTGTGGAGTTGTTCTGTTCTCTGGGATGGTCAAGGTCAGCATATGCCTTTGTACCATCTACTTGGCATTTTTTTTTTAATTTGAGGCCACAGTAGGGCAGCTCACATTACAACAGACAGGAGACATGAAGCAAGGAAGGGAACGGGGATAAATATACCCTTTCTTCAAAGGTGCGTGTCTGTGACCCACATCCCTCAGCCAGACCCCACTTACTAAAGTCTCCATCACCTCCCAAAAAAGCAGCACCACCTGGGGACCAATTGTTCAATACAGGAGCATGGGGGGTGGGGGCGCACATTTCAAATCCAAACCACAACCAAGGAATTCTGTATCCATTCTTATTAAGAGATTTTACTGCCTTTCTTATCTCTGGATTACTGGAGCTTTCTATACATCATTTTGAAAATGTCAAAATTACATTTTCTTTACTTAGATTTCTGTGTGCATGTGTGCACACACAAGAGAAGAGATGAGGATCTTCGGTTCTTGGGGTAAAAGCCTATAAATTTGTATGTATTAACTTCCTGGTGTAGGAAACACATATGGCATGCTCAGTGTGAACATCAGCATGGCATGAAGCAACGTGCTGTGAACAAGCGTCACCAGGCTCATTGGTGGAAGCAATCTCATAGATCTCATACCTTCCTGTCCTGAATCCTGCTAAGTTTCCCCGAGAGATGCTTCTGTTGACACGGCATTCAGATGATGCTATGTGAGTTGTGAGGAAGCTCTTGTGACAGCTGCTCCATGGGGAAAAAAGTCACCAAGTCATCTCACCCAATCATGTTGGAAAAAATAAAACTTGGCTCAGCAACACCAAAAGTGGAAGGCTTGAGCTCTGGGGGTGGTGTGTGTGTGTATGTGTGTGTG